TTGCAGCGTAGACTAAATAAAGTCGAGGATCGCTCGCCTGATCCTGGCAAGTCTTCCTAATGTCATCGGCCGCGGACGAGCTTGGCTGGCGAAAATCAAATAAAACGCAAAGTAAATTCACCCTATACAGTATTGAGCGAAAATGTTTTGCAGACCAGTTCCATTGTCAGTTCAAATAATTGTCAACGTTTTCTGTTAATAACGAATGTAAGATGAATTACTTGGTGTTTTGTTTGATCTTAAATTCCTGGCGAACTTGCAATGTAAGCAGACTAATTCTGCAACGATAACATCACCATCACTCGTATCACCTCATCACCACTCGTATCACCTCACCACCGCTCGTATCACCTCACCATCACTCGTATCACCTCACCATCTCGGCGTTAACGGTATTACCGGCGTTAACGGTATTACCGGCGTTAACGGTATTACCGGCGTTAACGGTGTTACCGGCGTTAACGGTATTACCGGCGCTAACGGTATTACCGGCGTTAACGGTATTACCGGCGTTTCAGTGGCCGGTCGGCACGTGAAAAGAAACACCGTGTCGCCGTTTTTATTCTAATTTAACACTATAAATCCAAAATATATCTGGTAAAAACGGCGAAAAGGTTTATTTTCACGGGGCGACCGGCCACTAGAACGCCAGTGGGACCGTTTTTTCACCGTTTTTTTTTTCTAGCAGTGAAGTTAGAAGAAGAAGATCCTGTAGAGAATGTTCCATGTTTTATTTGTTTATTCGTTATTATGATTGTCCTTTGTTTCTTGGTATTGGCTACTATTTATCATTCAAAGATGAAAACAAATGATGAAAAATAATATTAATATTATGTTATTATTTAATAACAATAAATGATATAATGTAATATTATTTATTACATCATATATAAATATTTATATAATATTTATTTATGTAATAATAAATAATGTAATGTAATTTAAATAATATAACTTATTATTTATTAATAATAAATAATATAATGAAAACAAATGATAAAAAATATAGCCATTAAACCTGACTTTCATCCTAACGCATTGCTCGAACCAGAATTACCATATATTCCTTTTTTCAGCCGAAATCGGCGATTCGCGCCTTTTTACCTTCATTCTAATTGCGTTGGCCAGCCAATGTCAAAATTTTTTTAGGGATCTTGGCATGGAAACTGTGTCGTGTAGCACCAGCCTTTGTTGTCGGACTCTCGTGCAACTTCTTCAATGACTTTACCGCAATGACTGCCATCAAGCTATCTATAAGCCACTTGTTCCCTTAGTGGGCGATATCGCCCCCCCCCTGGGGGCGATGGAAAGATCTGTGGGGGCCTCTGGAAAGATCTGTGGGGGCCTCTGGAAAGATCTGTGTTTAACCTTTCTCTTTCAAAATTGCAGCATACTAAATATCAAGAACGTGGCGTTTGTTTTTAAATGTGTCTGTCAGCAGGGGGCGCTAGAGATTCACTGGGGAGCCAAGGGGGGCACCAGCCTGAAAAAGTTTGGGAACCACTGCTATACACTGTTAGAAAAAACGGTGAAAAACGGTCCCACCGGCATCCTGGTGGCCGGTCGCCCCGTGAAAATAAAATGTTTCTCCGTTTTTATCATATGTTTTACGGATTTCTGTTTTTAAATTGGAATAAAATCGGTGAAACGGTGTTTCTTTTCACGAGCCGACCGGCCACTGAAACACCGGTAATACCGTTAAGGGTCTTTTTTCTAACAGTGTGGCCCCAGAACCTTGGCTTCTGGCAACAAAACCATCATGTCACCCACTGCACGCTTAATATGCCTGTTTCACACTTTGCACGTTGCAGGGGAACAACTTCTCTATCACTTTATCTCTTCTCTATCACTTTATCTCTTCTCTATCACTTTATCTCTTCTCTATCACTTTATCTCTTCTCTATCACTTTATCTCTTCTCTATCACT